GCATATCCAAACATCAAGCCCTGCAGAGCAAGAGACATTTAGTCGGTTAAAAAAAGAATACATCTATTCTAAAAAGATTTTTTTTTGAAGTAAACTAACTTTAGTAGAGATATGTCTGACAAAAATAATGTGTGCCCCTACTGACCTGGTCCCCTGCCCCTATGTCCTCCTCATTGCGGTCAATGTGAACACCCTGAGCGATGTCAGGAGACTGCTGCTCCAAGGCCACAAGAACATTGCAGGTCTTGTAGTCAAAACCTGTGCAGGAGACAGAGCAGCAGATTAAACACCAGCTAGCAGATTAGGCAATCAAATAAACAACAATGTGCCACACCTTTAGAGGAGTCGTCATATCCAATTTGGCGGATTGTGTCACGAACAACTTTCTGGTAGTCCACGTTGGCACGTGATGTCACCTCACCGGCCAATAGGATCATCCCAGTTTTGGCAACTGTCTCTGCAACAGGCAAGAAGGATGCAAAAACAAGGTAATGTCAACAAGTGTACTGAGCAAACAGAAAGGGGGACAAAATTACAATCGGAAGGTTGCGGGTTCGATCCAAGCCCTATGCCGTCAACAGTCGCTTTCACACCAAGTACTTTGCCGTACTTAGCCCCGCCAAACTCTTTAGTCTTTAGAACTGTCCTAGTAGATTGCGTTCACACCGGAATAAGTCCCTGAGGGAGGATTAGGCAAATGAAGCCGCTGACGTCACTTCTTCTGCTTTGGGTTTATTGGCAGGCCGCAAACAATTTCACGGCGTATACTGCCTCCCGGAGTCCTGGGTAAATCGCCAGAAGCACCGACACCTCCTCATCACTCCACCGCTTTATTTTGTGTTGCCATAAGTTAGTCTCTCTCCGATGGTGCGCTGGGCTAATGGTAATAATGCAGGGGACTGAAAAGGTTCGCATGAACTAGGTTCTAGTTCCAGATCTTTTTGGTGTGAAATCAAAATCCCAAGAACTATCGGAACTATTCCTGGGAAAAGTACTACGGTGTGAAAGCACCCAACATGTTGATGTATCCTTTGGCAAGATATGTTGCTGTGTATATGAATGCAAGCTTACTTGAGCAATAGGCACATTGCTCTGTATGAAAGAAGTGTGAATGATGACTTTTAGTATGACAAAGCACTTTTAGGGTTCGTAAAGACTGGATAAAGCATTATACAAGTACATTTAACATCGTACTTACCACATGCAACTTTGGCATCAGGGTCCTGCTTGAGATGAGCATCAAGAACTGCATCACTGATCTGATCACAGATCTTGTCTGAAAAACAACAACAATGCAACTTAACACCGGAAACAACAAAAGACTGCAGCAAACCCATGTGCATGTAAACTGAGGCACGTTAGCGCCAGTTTCGCGCAGGGGGAGTGGCTCGGAGCCATTCGAGAGTCGCCATTTCAGCATGAGAACACATGTGATGGGGAAAGGAGGGCGCGCAACTACCTGGGGACCAAAAGGCAAGCGCGATACACACTTCTAAACAATGAAGTAATTGTATCTATCGACACTAAATGCCAGTTAATAAACATACACCATGGTTCCCTGCTGTTTGGGCCAACCATTGTGCCTCGCGTGCTTCAGGAATAGCCCTGGAAGATTTGGCACGTTCAGGAAAACGTTAAACAAAAATGATATTGTAATGGTATCGGCCAATCATCCAATCAGTGATTGACGGATACAATTAGATGTGTGTTTCCAGTCGGCGCACAGATGGGATCAGTCAAGATTAGCGAGCTAACATTAAAGCTAGCTACAAGTAGCGCATGCTCTCTGGAAACCGGCCCAGCTAACGGAAAAGGCCGTAACGTCCAAATATATTAATGTATACTCCAGTAAGTCATGTTGCAGTTAACTGTTAACATGTACTATATGTTAGGGAGAAAGCGTCGTTAAAATACAGTTATTAGTGTGGCTAATAAACCAGATAAACCAGATAAACCTGTGTATGTGTGTGCGCTTACCGGGATGTCCTTCCCCGACAGACTCTGAGGTGAACAAGAAACAGTCCTCATCAATGAGGGCGTTATGAAAACCATTCAACTGTCCGTTCATTGTCGATAACGGCTGCTGCTGCTGCTATGTAAAACTTGAATATGAAGATATCTCTTCAGCTAGCAGAGCCTCTTCTATAGGACTGTCCTCGTTTCTCGGTGTATTGATCCTCAAGCGTGAGCCTCATGGCGCAGAGCTCCACTATTTAAGGATAAAGTCTGACGCGTTGACGTCATCAGGAGGCGGGCCATACCATCGAGCCAATCACAGGGCTTGCAGCATACAGTGTAAGGTTGCATACTGTAACAGGGAGATGCATTGCCGAATGGCAGTCATACAGCGACCATGTGCTATCAAACATATCAGAAGTAGAGTGTGTAGTGAAGTAAAAGTACCAGAGAGCAAGAATACTCTGTTACAACCAAAAGTCCTGCATTCTAAATCCTACTTAGTAATAGCATCAACATATACTTAAAGTACCAAAAGTAAAAATACTCATTATGCAGATTGGCCCATTTCAGAATTATATATATTATGTGTTTTGATTATAATTATTGATGCAATAATGTGTTTATCAAAGCTGGTAAAGCTGCTAATTGTACTACTTGTGTATGCTGCAAGGTAGCTTGTGGATTTACTCCAGGTGTGACTTTTAGGTTTTATCAATTGTTGATTACATTTAATATCATTGATCCAAATTTACAAAACTTAAGGTATGAAATAAATGTTGTGGATTAAAACTACATTTGTTTACCTCTGAATTGTAGTGGGGTATAAGTACAAAGAAGCAAAACATTTAATACTCAAATACAGGTCCCTCAAACTCGTAGAGCGCCGTGCTTTATCAACGTCTTTGAGGGGGAAAAATATCGCACCTTAAGTGTGTATGTCATTGTTAGACTGAAATGTGTTGATAGGAAAAGTAGATGATGTAATAATAGTCACAAGTTGTGTTGTCATTTTACATTAGATTCACAAGCTAGACACCCTACCAATCTTCAATGATAATATGTTTGGATCTGACTAAAACTAAAACAGCAGGACTTGCATTTTAAACTTCTCCACCACCATGCCACCAACACCCAAACAATCCTTTGTGTGTTTTGTCCCAGCCATAATACCATCAATGTATAAATACAATGGCATACTTTCACGATAACCAAAACATAAACCTAATCTTAATCCTAACAATAAATCAATGTGTTCATTCATAAAAATAAAATACTGGCAAAGATGTCATTTATTTGCAAAACAAACCTATATTGTTCAAATGCCTGACACTTGATGTTTCTCAGGCTGACCACTCTTCCCATTTCATCTCATGTTCTGTTTGGAGCAGGTGGAAGAAGAGAGGACTGGCTGTCATTCTACAAACAGGACAATTCTGCTTAAAAGCTCTCATTTAATAAACAACTGGGACAAACATATATTAATTAGAAGGCTTCTTTAAAGCTTAGGGGTTCAATGTTAAATGGACATCCAAAGTTAAGGACTTCTATTATTCCGGATGTGTCATTTAAAACTGTCTTTGTGTGAAGCAGGAGTCAACAAATATAAATATGTCCCAGAAACCTGAGTAAGCGGTGGTATAAACCAACACTGGTATGGTAAATCTAATAAACTGCATTTATTTGAGCTATCACAGGAAAATCAGAACATGCTCTTTCCTGGTATAACCATATTAACCTGTAAATACATTTGCAACAAAGGTAAAACTGGTAAGTGGAGAGAAGAGCAGCGCATACAATCCTAATTTAACTTGATTATGCTTTACTCAAAAAGCTCCCATCTCACTTCGACCCTTAAAGCCCTGTTGGGTAATATAATCAAAACCTCTGATTGTGAACATGTTGTACCTTTGTATGAAACAGATGGGTTTAATTAATGTTGGTACAAGGATTAGTTTGCTATGGTTTGTGCTCCAAAGCAGTTCCGGTCCCTGTGCTTTAGCTTGAAAAGATAGATTCATCCAGAATTCAATGTTGACATTAGGATAATATGGTTTCAACGTTTTTGACTCTGATGTGCACATTTTCCGTTTGTCATTGTGAGTATCTAAAATGCTGCACAAAATACTAATCTCTTGTAATAACATATAATGTATTGCTAGTCATGATGACAAAGCATTCATGAATGTGTGGACTAAATAAACAAAGATTATACCTTTAATGGTCAGTCACTGAGATTGTTAGATAACTCACATCAGCTGTTATTTTATGACACCAATAATATATATTGGTTTGTTGTCATCAACAGTGGTCATACAAAGTCATAAATCAAGGGGTTTCCTTCAGCACACACACACATACTGTCATTATGTTATTATAAGTCAGAATTTGACATTTTAATTGTGCAATTTTGATGGAAAATCCAACCCATAATAAACTATCCATGCTTATAACACTACAGAGTCATTAGTATGGTCTGCAAGTGCCCTTTTTGATCCGTTTATTTTATAATGTCATTATTGTGTTAATCGTCACTAAACAGAGGAATTCAATCCCTGAGCAGTGTTGCATCAGAGCGGTAGTCATTTGTCACCATGAATTTGCAGGGTGGACGCTTTCTTTTCAGAGGGCAAACGCATGATGCAAGATGCACCTGCTGTTGCCTTTTACAGGATGTAATGTGTCGGTTACGGACATTTATTCAGAGAGTCAATAGCATGTAACAATCACAAGGATTAATGATAAATCAAGGGGATTGAATGGGTGAAAGCTGAATAAAAAAAGACGAGAGGTCCACTCTAATACTGATATTCATTGACTGAAGTAAAATTATTTGACATAAAATTAACATACTACTACTTTTGCTGCATTAATGACCTTCATTGTCATCATGTAAATATGACTTGCAGTTATTTGTGCAAATGTTTTTGCAGCACAGACTGCATTGAGTATTGTATAATGTATCATGTTGTTCGGATATGTACATTCCTCATTAGACACATTACACTGTAGTTAGCCCTTTTGAATCAATGAAAACACAGACATCACAATTTGAAGAGGGTTGTATTATTTCTTTGGACAGTTTGATAACTAAGGAACCAACCCCTAAAAACATGTTTGCCTCGCTGATCAGGTAATTTCACAGAGATAAACAATTCTCATAACAAATATTATCTCAAAGACTTGCTCATTTTTTGTCAATTTCACAAGTATACAAAGTCCTGTAGACTAAACAATCTACATTTACAATAAAAGCAACATTTAAACTGGATTTTCTAAAATGTAAATGGGAGAATCAGACTCTCTTCATAGTTCCTGACAGAGCAATAATCAATATTCTATAATATCCATTGAAATAATGCTCCCTCACTGGCCAGCAGAATTCAGGCTCATTTACAGTTAAATAAGAAAATAAATACATAATTTAAGTAAAATAATCTTTGTGGCATAGATTGTCATCTATCTTATGTATTATATCATATTTCATATTTGTAGTTTAGATACATACTTCTTCTGTTTTAGCCACATCATTACAAAACAATAGCATTCTGTAGACAGAGCATTATTTCATTAACATTTCACAATAAATAGACACTGGTCATTACTGCATAGCTGACCATATTTATCTAAATCACCTAAAGTAGGACAAAGTCATACAATCTCAATCTTTTTCAAACATCTTACTCTAAACAAAGGTCCATTATATTTTTCATTTTAAAAACAAGAAAAGACATGAATGCACTATGAAATGATCTGAACTTTTTTAGATTTATGCAGGCATTGCTATCCTGCGTTTTCTTCATCTAAGACGTACACTGAAGTATCATTTGTATACTGTCCTTACATAGCTTTCCTAACAAGTGTTCACAGCCACAATTATAACAAAGAGGAGTCCAAAACAGCACTTTACGGCACAAAAATCACAGTACCGGAATGTACAGTATGTCCAGCTGCAAACCATGCAAACGCATTCACACACCATTCACTGCTAACTCTAGCACACACACACATTCCCCCCCCCCATCCAAACCACACTCACGTCGATAAAAACACATACACACAACAACCGATTACAGATGTACACACTGAGCTTACAGCTACTACAGCATACACTGTCCTACGCTAACAGCCCAAAAGTACAAAGTGTCTAATATGATGCATCATAGGTCACACGGTAACAATGCAACACGACTACTGTGACTATTGTCACTGTCAGCTAACCACCAGGATCAGTAAGGGAGTATCTAAGCAAGATGAAAACACAAGAAACATACGCAGTGAACTGAATGAAAGTAAAGTCATTAGCGGAACACGTTAGCTTTGCATCATACTACTAACGCTATATGCAAAGGCCTGTAGTAGCTCTAAATAGTAGAGATCCTGCTCACAGTTGTCAGAGATGTCAGGATTGATTATCAGTTGTATAGCTTTTTTATTTTACTTTAAATAAATATGGCTCATTCACTCACATAAAAGGTATGTGTCTAAGCAATATACTGTAAATGTTTCCTGGGTCAGATATTGCTGAAGTGAACACTGAAGTTAGTAAAGCAGATTAAGTAGCCAACAAATAGTTCTTACAGCTAGCCTCCCACGGCCATCACATCCCACTGCTATGGGGTAGTGGTCTATTTAAAGGCCTTCACGCTCATATTCACTTTCTAAGCTGACATGTGGTCTGCTGCTGCCAGGGCCGGTGGCCGAGCCCCCTGAACTCCAGTGTCCATGCTCTCTTTTCTCATGCGCACTGAAGGGACTTTATCTTGGGAAAAGGGACTTTATCTTGGGAAAGATTCCCCGTGTTACGTAAGATTTGCATGCTGAGTTTACAAAGCAAAGAATATCCACAAGAGCCTAGGCGGTGGGTGAGGCTCTGAAGGGAAGACTAGTTTCAAACTTGTTTTGGGCACCACAATAAGTTATTATAGCATAAGCCTGGCATTGTTACATCTCTTGTTAAATCTCGTTCTTCCAGGGATCGGCAACCCGCGGCTCTTTAAGCCCTCTACTCTGGCTCCCTTGAGCTTAGACAAAAATAAGAAGGAAATAAAATAAAAATATTTGTAGGACTATTTCTATTTTGTTGCATGGTTGAAAATGTTTCGTATCTTGTATTTTGAGGTGATACTGTGAACATAAAAAAAAAAGATAAAATATGCTCTGAGAGAGAATTAAGATCCTATATAAAATATGCGTCATAGCACCAGCACCAGCGCCTTTTCTTGCAGGCGAATAACCTGACCCCCGGCTCGATGAGCGAACTATGGATAAATCAAAGAAAAGAAAAGTATCGGAGGAACACAGGATTTAATTCTGCGTGGACTGAGTTATATGTTTTCAAAGCAAACGATGCTGGCTTACCGGTATGTTTGATATGTGGAGAGAAGTTGTGAAAGGAGCTGCAGCATTTACGTATTGGAGGAAAAACACGGAAGAGGAAGACAGCTGACGATCTTCAGTCATAATTCAATCAGTTAACTCTTTTTAGGGTGCAGCTAATGTTTTATTTATTTCAAAGTGGGCCCATTTTAATTATATTCATTTTCTTCAAATGTGCAGAGGACTCCCCGAGTGCTGTGTTGATTTATTTTAAAGTAGGCCTGTGTAAGAAAGAGGAGTTCTTTGTTTATTATTAGAGGTAAACAGTTTTCTATAATGTAATAAATAATAAATGCAAAAAAACTGTAGTTTTTCTCTATGATGTAACAATATATACAACTTTATAAGCTATCAAATATGTTTTGCGGCTCCAGACAAAAGAAATTGGTGGAAAAGGGGGCAAAATGGCTCTTTTGGTCAAAAAGGTTGCAGACCCCTGTTCTATACGGTCTAATGTACATTGACTGTATGCATGTTGGCAATGTTTGCACAGCAACGATTGGTGTCTCAGCATTATCTTTGTTAAAGGTCACAGTAATTAGTAACATGCATTTCCTAATCGTAGCAGTAGCATATTAGCCTGAAATGGTCACATCTCGTTTTTTCCGTAGCCTAATAAACTATTATTATTATCACTGTTATAATCATAAACAAATATGTTGTGGTGCTTAAAACATGTATGACAGTTGTTCAAATATTAGCCTTCCCTATCTTCAGAGCCTCAACCCCTCAAGTATGCCGTTGTGGGAGGTTTTAGGGCCTTGGTGTGTTAAAGTGTTAAAACAAAATCTATTTTTTACTATTTTTCTATGGTCCGTTTTGTCAGAGCTGATTTGTTCCATATGCTACATGTTCCACAACTAAGCAGACTAGTTGATATGGGAGAAATGTATCTGTCAAGTATGTCCTACTCCTTGTCTTAAAAGCATGACTGCTATTTAGGTCAGTGCAGAGTTTCAAATCATTGTTGGAATATGGGGAATTATTTCCTAATGCAAGGTGTCAGCTCCCTGTACTGTCCACACCTGAGAAAAGGACAAAGGTTGAAGGAACACGGGACAGAATTAAATAGAACAACTCAAGGCAAAGTTAGCCTTCTGGACAAACCAGATGGCTGTTCCTGAAAAGGATGGCATCAGAAAAATGTTCATTACAGAAAACATACAATGTCGTGAAGGTATTTAATAAAAGACACTGTAGTTGGATATGTCACCTGCCTCACACTCCTGAACCCTCACTGTCTTTCTCTTTCTCCCCAGAAGCAGACACCTGGCTGCTGCTGCTGCTGCTGCTGCCCTCTGCTGGAGGTCTAGTGGACTCACTCATTCTCCGCTGTGTTGGATGGAGAGGCATCAGTGACATTGAGCATTTTCATTTTGGCCTGTTCAGGGCTGCCTCGGCTGTGGCTGCGGTGGTGGTGATGGTGGTGGCGGTGCTTGGCCTTGCGTGGACTGGGACTGCGGGACCTCGTCTTCATGATGACGGTGCTTTCGTCCTCTGAGCTGAAGTCCGAGCTGTCAGAAGAACTGGCGTCAAGACCTGAAGTGGGAAGCTGGATCTAAAGGAAGATGAAAATGAGGGTTTGAGTGAGATATAATACAGAGAAAGAGCAGCACACATGATGTAATGTCCTCTTCTAATGCATTTGATTGTTTTAATCTCAAGAAAGCAGTACCATGATTACCTGAAATGGCTCTGTGACACCCACAATGGTGCTCATATTGTTGCTATAGTAACCCAATATAAAGTCGCCTGAGCCTTTGGGCAATTCCTCCTCAGTAAAGGTTACCTGGAAAAACAGTCAGCCAGACATTTATTAAATGTGAAAGAGAATTATTTCTGAAGCTAAATCAGGACGAAACAAGGTTACCTGATGTTCTGGTCGAGTGAAATCAGCTTCCTCTTGTTTCGCCCACACATATCCCACATAGTCCTTATGGTGCTTGAAACCCACCTAGTGTTATAATAAAAGTCACTCAGCAGCCTTGCACATTATTTAAAAAAAAAACGAACAAAGCAGTAAATAAATACAACAATAGTATACAATGTTTTATCAGTTAGATACCAGAGGTGGAAGAAGTACTCAGATATGTTACTTAAGCAAAAGCAGCAATACTACAGTGTTAAAATACTCAGTTACAAGTAAAGTCCTGCATTCAAAGTAAGGGTAAACAAGTATTGGCATCACAATGTACTTTAAGTACCAAAAGTACTAGTTATGCAGAATGGCCCATTAAAGCACCATATGTTTTAATTGTTTTATTATCATTATTATTCCATTAATGTGTTCATGACTTCATTGTTGCCCTTGGTAAAAGTTTGGTTTATTTTAATGACTTTATATACTACTGGGTAGCTTAAACTATAATAATACATGATAATATATAAGTTGATTAAGATGTTGTATAAATAATCTAAATCCTCAAACTAACTAGTAACTAAATCAATCAAATAAATGTAGTGGGGTAAAAAACAACAACATTTGCCTACTAAATGTAGCGAAGTAAAAGTACTATTACGTGAAAATGCTTAAGTAAAGACAAGTACCTACATTTTTTACCTAAGTACAGTACTTGAGCAAATGTACTTTGTACGCTATAATAGATCAAGGTACTACTAGTAAAATATAAACATAAGGTTATATATACATTTCAATTGTGCAAATTGGTTAATTGCAATGATGTGTAGAATGTGAGTTTGAAATGTACAAATGATGCAGGGTTTAGAAAGAGCTTGAGCATGATTTTCTGTTGGAAGAAGTGAGAGTACTTTACCTTGTAGAGTCCCATCCAGTCCCAGGAGCTGCGGGGGAAGTTTGGCACCAGTTTGAACCTCGCTACGGCATCAGCAATACAGTTCCACTCATCTTCCACCATGATAGTGACCAGGGGAATATCCACCTTGTACGGGAACTACAAAGAACATTTCCAATGAACATTTATACATTGCAAACTATTTCAATTGCGTTTATATTTAAATAAATAAAAAGGCTGAAAAATGGAACCATATAAACGGTCTCAAAAGTTGGGACCCAATGCATGGTCAAATGCTAAGCCTTGAGAAGGTATTATTGGACCACTTTAAATCACAAGTTTAAACTGTGCAATATTCTTGAGTTTAAATAACATTAAACATGATTATTTTCAAAATAAAGGGCTAAAAGTAGTTCTGGAAATGTGTATGTTGTCATTGTTTCTGCACCTTACCACTAGTATTGAGATTTAAAAGATTGCAAGGGTAAATCATCCTCACAAAGTACCCTTATAAGTCTCACCTGCAGGGTGAAGATGGAGGACACAGGTTTGTGGTCACTGACTGTGTACTCCATGTAGCTTCGGTAGTAGTGCTGGGTCACTTTGGTCCCGCTGGTCAGACCCAACATGGACCCACGCTTCCCTGCGTTGAGAGCAGACCCGGCCGTAGCTCTCAGGCGCCACAGAATCCGGTCGGTCCAAGCTGGTTTACGCTTCTTCCCGCTGGGTGGAAAACAGAAAGAGATATGGAACTAAAATAAACGTGTTTAATAACATAACCTGGAGAAACAAGAGGTGCTAATATGCTCTCCTTTGGTAGAGCTGTGATAATTGATCAGTTGCCTGGAATTAAGAAAAAGCACAGAGGCGTCACCAACCTTGTGTCGTATGTATCGGTTCCAACGTCAAACTTGTAGGTGGGAGGAAATTTCAGCGCCCCCTCTTGGAAACCCTCCAACACCGTCTCACTGTCTTTGGCCATATTGAGCTGTAACATTAAAGAATGTCCCTCACTGAGGATTTGTGTTTAACTGACAGCTCCTTTATGGAGATAGTTTGTTTTTATACTGCCCTCCGGTGGCATCACCAACACAGTGCATAGTCCAGCAGAGAAGAGAAAATGTATTTTCTGTTTTATGTATGCCTCTGCAGCTTGGGAAAAGTCTTCACAAGAATTGTGATCCAAAGATCAGACTTAAATGATAAATGTTCTGAGGGTAAACTGCTATGAATACAGATGTGAGGGGGAAGTTGCATTTCAAGAAGACCCCACGTAGGAGTTAGATTTGAAAGTATTCTATGATTATACAGAACATCAGACAGCCCTTTTTACCTGATCCTTTTCCAACAACATTTGATACTTGTTGTTATCGATGGCCGATTTCACAACCTGCATATCCAACTCATCAATGCGGAAATTGAGATCTCCAAACCAGAACACCACACTGTGAAAAAAAAGGAGTAATTTCATGAATTCAAACCATGGAAACTACATAAGAACTTTTGCAATGCTGACTGGTACACGATTTTCACCATAAAACATGACTTTGGAGAAATCAAGAATGCGATTGTTTGTCACATATAAATGAGCAGGTAACGGTTGTGCTGCCGTACTCATGGTCGAGGACCCCGGTGGCAGCCTGGCCCTCGAACTGCTGCTGCTGCAGGATGCTCTCAAAGTCCTCCATGCGCTGCTCTGAGTTCTCCATGTGAGCCGGCAGGTGGCAGTTGAGGAAGCAGATGGTGTGGCCGAACACTGACATGCGGGCGCTCACACCACCTTTATTCCCCTGAAACACCAGCAAGAAAAAAAGTTGTTTAATCATTTTTAATAGAGAAAGGTACACAGACAACTTATTCATCTGGAAGCTAAATTAAATGAATGAATGACTTAAATGACTACGGTCAGTGATGTAAGACAGTAACAGTCTCTCACTTTATTGAGCGATGCGTGTCTGTGGCAAAGACAAACAGGAAGTTTACTCATTAGGGACCACCAAGAGTGGGATCAATATTTAATGGTAACAGATAAGTGCGCAGTGGGGGGACAGGATGAGTCTGAAGATCTATTCCCGCTGTTCTACCAACTGCGCTGACCCACTAAAAACATGTTTCAGTGTAAAGGCTGCAGAATGTGCTGATCCCTGAGTTAATACAGAGATACTTTTACCCTGAGCTACAAAACATTTCAGGGAACAGGATCTTAATTCTCTCTCGGAGCATGCCATTGTCCTTTAGTAACATATTGCAGAAAGCATCTTTTTTTTAACGGTTTAAAAGAACAGTTCTTTATTCTTATTAAACCTGACAGAACAGCGTTTGAATATGAGGTAACAATATGGCCTCAATGAAAGATATATAATACAAAATATAATATATAGTTATTATGGATTGAATCAACACATCCTTAAAATGTTTTCTTTCCAAAGAGAATCATACAACACACCACTTTAAATCCTGTATTTATCTGAGATATGCTTATGTGTTTATTCAACATTAAAGCATGAGAAAGGCATAAAGAAATTGAATAATCGGTCAAAGTCATCCAAGACCAAAACAACCGATTAGCCGACTGATTTAATAAGAGGGAGCAGCCGTCGTAGAAGTGTGTAACGCTGTAGTGGAAACGTATTGTCTCTGATCTCTATCAGGGCAGTGATGCAAGTTTACACAAAGTCACAGTTATCTACAGTTATCTACAGCTAGGCTCTCATGTGTAACATTTCCACCACACAGTGATCAAAGCGTGGTGTCAGCAGCCGTCTCACCCAGTATCCCCCCAGGCCGGTGCGGGTGGTCTCAGTCTGGACTCCGCGCAGGAAAGGCAGATGGAAGTACTTGGCAAAGACCAACAGCAAACACCCCTGCATCCGCTGAGAGGTGACCTGAGGGACAGAAAAGCAGAGATGGGAGGTAACTAAGTACAACTAGAGAATGCAATTCCTGAAGAAATTGCTAGTGGGAATGCTTTATGCTGAAAAGCTGACGCTAAACTGCTATGCTGAAATGTAATATGTAATAAGAAAGTGAAGAATTTAGATTGAAATTATACATGAACACTGGGGGCTTGAATGTGTGATAAAAGAAGAAAAGAAAGTAAAAAGGCTTAGGAAAAGCAGCAGAATATTTGAACTGAAAACTTCTGAACTAACTTGATGGCGAAGGATCTGTCGCCATGCCAACGGCATTTGATGACACTCCATAATACACTTAGATGCATTGATGGCTGCATCGTTACCAAACCTGTGAAGTTTTGGGCCGTTTGGAGCAATTTAACTGAAGTTATGAGAAAACCGTGTTTCATGGCGAGCCTTGTGTTGCCATGGCAACGGCATTTGAAGAAATCTCAAAACTGTTTCCCGTGAAGTTAGAGCACTTTTTGAACATTTTCATAGGAGTTATAGCAGCATCGTGTTTTATGGCGAGGGATGAGTTTCCATGGAAACGGCATATGATGACACCCCATAATTGACGTAGAGCTGTTGAGGGCTGGACCATTAACCATTAACCATTATCTGAAGTCTGCTGCTGTTTTATGGCGAGGGATGCGTTGCCATAGTAACACGACATTACGTAACATCAGATTTGATGTAGAGCTGTGTTAACCATTATCTGAAGTCTGCTGCTCTGAGCATGTCAGTTGGAGTTATGACATCATCGTGTTCCATGACACAGGTGTTTATATTTGAGCTAACAACGTGTCCAGAGATCAAAGGTTTCCATGGTGATGTGCAGTAATCAGTGAGAGGAGAGCATTTTTATTGTTCTGAATGAGAGATAAACCTCTTACATGTGATCGTTTTGTTGAAGAACCGTAACAGATATCGGTGAAATTTCAAAGCGTGAAGCATGTCAAGGAACTTGAGCATCTGAAGTGTACTTTTTGTGTACTTTTGGGTTAATAATGTGGCCTTTTTGGCAGATTAACTAAAGGTGTGCGGCTGCTGTGGTGGGGAAAGATGAGGCTGAACTTACAATGGGGTTTAATGGAGACATGTTGAAAGTTGTTGTCACTTCATGCCCTCAAGAGGCATTTTGTTAAATTTGTTTGCTTAATTTATTTTGTATTGCCTGAGAGAGAGATGTTTTCCTACGTTTCTCATGAAAAATTATGTCTCAGGAATGTAGGGTTTTGGGAATGGCAGGTTTAAAAGAAAATATGAAGGCAAAATTAAATCTGTCCTCCACTCTAGCTGTGACAACACACACTCTAAAATCTGAAGAAGGCCTCTTTACCAAGGTCTGAACAATGTTTAATATCTCTAAAAGCAAGAATCAGATTTAAAAGTGGTTTAACATGAATAATGTCAGAAAGATGTGTAACATTTTAAAGTTGGAATGAGGTTTCTGAGTGAAAGTATGAAGGAGCAGTTAGCAGGTGAAGTTGCATGAAGATTGTTCAAGTCTGAAGAGTTTCTCCATTGACTTCCATGTTAAAAATGTGATGAATTATGGGATGTATCTCTGGAATTATGAAAGTTATGAATAAGAAAAGTAATAGCCATCGATTCCCGACTGAGCTGAATGTTTTGATGTTTGAACGGAGTTTCTGCAATGTGGAATGTGGGAGAAGAAGAGGCGCAAAATAACTCGGCGGAATAATAAAGAATTCCGTGCGTCGAAGAACAAGTAGTGAGAATGCTGTATCAGCATTCCCACTAAATTACTCAACTACTGTCCAAGTTTGAGTATTTCCATTTGATGCTACATTATACTTCTACTCTACCACATTAAAAAAAAAAATGTAATTTTATTTACTGCTACTTTTAACAAAACCCATCTTTAAAAATTAAACTAGTAGACTAAATCTTTAAGTCACAAATGAGTCAAATCATTTAAATATTTTAGAAAAAGCCATTCAGAAATGAGTTGGTCTACAACAGTAAAATGTTACGTGATGCAACAATATTATCTAGAAATGTCACATATATAAATAAAATTATATACACACATCAAGGCCATTTTTCTACACAATGATTACTTTACTTTTTATACTTTAAGTACATTTAGCTGAGAGTTATTATGTACTTAAGTATGATTTTGAATGCAGGACTTTTACTTGTAATACAGTATTTTGACAATAATGTATTGGTACTACTACTCGAGTAACACATCTGAATACTTCCACCGCTGCAGACAAGTGAGAAAGAGAAATGAAGAACAAAATAAGATAACGTGAAAAGGTACACGGTTATAAGCCGGCACTTTGCATAATTCTGATAAGAGAGCAGCTGTCAAGTTTAACATAACTGTGGATGTACTGTACACAGTATGTATCTTCAACACTAGAATTTGAATAAACAAATTATCTGAGCTGAGTCCGGCTTTTCTCGCTGTCCATTTATTCTGCTCTGCTTCACTTTCTCTCCTCGCTCCTTTTCATTTCGCCCTGCAGGAGCCACTACTTCACATGAAGCGCTGCACATTCAGAGAGCCGTAGCTGGTGGTCTGCCCTCACTGTGGCAACAGACCACTTTGTAGAGGAAATGTGATGAACAGGCTACAAGCACTCAATGGTCAGACTGCTCCTTTCTCCAAGCCTTAACCATCATCTCAAAAGCACTTGCTTCTGGTTCTGCTACGTTATGATGTGCAGATTTTTGACATTTCCGAATCAAGGCATTGTACATTAGAGAAATTAAAAGACTAGAAATAAACATTCCAAAAGAAATGAGATAGATTTCATACATTAGATGAAATATAGATATACCAGTAAAACTGTAATAGAATACAAATAAAATATATGCAGTATTGGTATGACAAGTAGAAAGCCATGCCGATATAAGATGTAGCTTTGTGTACAATGTGCAAAGTTCACCTTATAAAAAGGGTATAGTTATAGTACTGTATTAGAGGGGCTGGAATATGACACGTGCTTTGTGAGAAGAGGTATTTGCACGCATTTGTATGTCGAGCCACTCACCAGACATTTATGTTCATGTCTCCCAGCCCCTTCCTCCAGTGGTACAAACATCACAACCCCCCACTGCAGGCCACAGAGGCATGATCACACCCCGCCTGAAACGCCCTGTGGCCGTGATGGAGGCACGCATCTTTGCACGTGACACAAGACCCACTCGCTTGTATACTAACCGGCTATCTCAACAACTTTGTTGCGTAACAGGGTTCCACTGAACCGTAAAGTGGACTGACCTTATTTGCGGTATGTGTGTGGACACAGACAATGAGTGAGTGAGTGAGTGTGAGTGAGTGAGTGAGTGAGTGAGTGTGTGTGTCTGTGTGTGTGTGTGTGCGTGTGTGTGTGCGTGAGAATACACCTTTGTCAGCAGGGATTGTGTTTGAAAAGCATTTATTTTTAACATTAAGTGAACATTGGGAGCGCTTCTGAAGGCTGCCATGCTACATTTAGGCTGTAAACAGAAAATATATTTAAGCCTAAAGACAAGTTTTGTGTGTGTGTGTTGTGTGTGTGTGTGTGTGTGTTTGTGTGTGTGTTTGTGTGTGTGAGTGAAGGAGCGAGAGGAAGAGAAAAGGTGCATGTGTGCAGCAGTGCATGTTTGCTCTTGTACAGCACACACATGACTAAAGAACTGAGTAACAAGTGTGAGACCTGCGACTTTGAAAGAAGTTCATTGCTGAACAACGGCTTACTCACGGTCTATACTAATAGAATGACAACCCGGAAACATCAACATCATCCTCAGCTGTTCTTTACACAATACATTAGACATCATTTGCTGGATTATTAAAAAGACCCCTTCTGTTAGATTGATGCATTGAGTATGTGCTTAAGATGTAAGTCTAAAAGAAAGTTCTCTGTTATTTGTTAATGTCTACAAATCTTTCAAATATGATCCAACCTAAACATTCTTACCCGTTATCAAAATGCATATACAGCTTATTCGTTGTGTAATTAATAGCATGTTTAGTGAACACATAGTGAGAAAAAGTCAGGCCAATTAATCACAAGGAATACAGAGAGTTTTGCTGCAACAATAGAGCGTGCCATGTTGCAATTAGAGATTAGAGCTAGAAATAGACTGTCTTTGCTAATTGGTGTATTTACATTTGAGCTTATACAAACATAAATTGTCGTCACAATCAGCAGCTTTTTGGGGAACGGCCTGAAAACATTTCTTGATGGCGTAGGGCTGCTCGATTATGGCAAAAGTCATAATCTCGATTATTTGGGTCAATAATTGATATCACGATTATTAAACACGATTATTCATTTATTGAAAAAAAATGTGAACAGTATGTTTTCAACAGTTGAATACCCTGAACTTTAAGTATAATTCAACTGAAAAACCAATTAATCGTTTTATTTCGATTACGTTGTTTTTGTAATCGTTGCAAGCCAAAATCGTAATTGCGATTAAAATATGATTAATTGATCAGCCCTATGATGGCGCCGCTGTGTTTCAGCAGTGGAGGGCAAAAAGCTTTCTCTTAGCGGTTACAGTTTGAACCTGACGACGAGTCCTGAAAAGCTGAGTATCTAAGAACACCAAAGATCTCCTCTACTCAAGACAAACTCCAACTAACACATCTCCCAGCGTTAATGTCCACATGAAGAACATGAGAAGGTCACACCGACATGATCATAGAGAGCTAAGCTAATGTAGTCGACCATGATATAGCTCGGGGAAGGCATCAGTCTCACTGTCAAAGGCCCATCAACACTGATAACAACATGATCCAAAAATAAAACTGCATCCTGGGAGACATTTGTTTAGCTCTCTCAGCTCCACAGCTGATTCACGCTCTCCTGCTCACCGTGCCCACAGAGCCAAACAGCGCTTCAGACAAACACCAACCACAGCTGCGGTATGTACACTCAGAAACATGAAACATAACTAGACAACAAACAGTAATCGATCAAAATAAACGTTTGTGAGGGTTTACATATAGCTTGTTAACTGCCCTGTTGTTATAAGAAATATGGCCATAACTGAAATGTGTGTTATATCACGTATGGAATATATATTAGAAAGTATGTGCAACATCAGTCAAAATTCAATATGAGCATTACATTAAACCTATTGCATTTTTTTGTATTCTATCGTCCCACAGTGGGTATATGTAAGCAGTTTAAGATAGTAAAATAAAGAAGGGGAAAGTAAGCAGGTATAAAAGCACACGGAGAGAAAACCAAGAGACAGCTTGACTTTGCATTATGAGCTATGAAGAGAGAGGAAGATGGCAGACACGTTGATATTACACGCCTGTTATACATAATCACCCCATCCGATGCTCAGGGGACAGAAGGAGCTGAATCCACAGCAGGCAAGCAGAGATCTCATCAACCCGTGTAATTCGTATGAATCCGATCTGTTTGCTATGAGAGTGTGCATATGTGTTGATAATGAAAGCCATTACTGACCAGCACATAACCAAAGGGGCTGAGTCTCTCCATGCAGACCTCGCTCCACTGGTCTGTGAAGAGGACATCTTTCAGCCTTTTGTTAATCATGGAGTTCACTTCCTGCAGCCTTGTAGAAAAATGAAACACAACACACAAGGGTCAAGAGTCAGCAGAGATGAAAGAAGAGCTGATGTGGGGGAGCTATGGTAATGTATTGTTGGATTAACCATTACATTATCGTTGGAAATCGTAGCTGTGCTGCAGCACTGAGCCCGGCTGCCATAGGATAGGAAGGGCTAACGCATACTTGTTTTAAGCACCACAGAAGAGGTTTTCATGTTTATATTAATACTACTACTACTACTGCTACTACTACTGCTACTACTACTACTACTGCTACTACTACTGCTACTACTACTACTACTGCTACTACTACTACTACTACTACTACTGCTACTACTACTACTACTACTACTACTGCTACTACTACTCCTAGTGATAATAATCAGCCCAATAGGCTACAGAGATTCGCCAATGGCTAATATGCTACCTCTACCGTTTATGAAATGCATTTGACTAATTGCTGTGAGCTTTAACAATGGTAATGCAGGGACATCAACAGCTAATGTATAAACATAGCAAACAAATATACTGTCTATGTACATATATTATTTTTTTATTTAACCTTTATTTAACCAGATAAAAGCATTGAGATAAAATCTAATTTTCAATGCTGACCTGGCCAAGAAGACAGCAACGTTACACATAACACAAACATATAAAATACAGAGAACATAACTAAGAAAACAAAAGACGAAAAAGCAGTCACGACATTGTGCACATTAAGACAGTAAGAAAGGTGCACTACTTATTACTGCAAGAGCAGCTGGTGGTAAGGACTTCAGACAACTTCAATTTAAACTATGCTATTGAGACAAGTGCCCTCAGTTTGAGGCATTCCAGGACCAAGGACCAAGGACCATATAAATCCTGCTAGCTGCAGCCCGAGGCACACAAGTGAAGGAACTTCAGAAATATATGTTGAGCTTGCGGCAGTAACTGACAGAATAGATGCAGCTCTGAGACAAAGACACGTTTCTAAAGCAGCGCTGTTTGTTGTGAGTAACATTAGTGAGTAACTCTTCACACAACAAGCTGCTTCTACCAGCCGCCCTCTGCTCATTCTTACAGAATTTAAAACAAAGCGCTCCGATGGTGATAAGTTCTTAATAGTTTTTGGATAATTAGATGTATTTGTTGACTATAGAAAACGTATACACCAGTATATACTGCTGATATTTGGAGTTGCTGAACATTATATATCATAGCAGAAGCCTGTATAAGATACTTTCAGGGAACATCAGTGTGCAAAATAGTAAAGGAACCGATAAATTACTTCTCTAGCCGTTATTTCTCGGTGGCCCTGCCGGCTGTTCATTAGTGACTTTCTTTAAAGTGTCGATGTGGGACTTGCATATTGAAACACTTCAGCTTTTATGTTAAGGAACTTGTTGCAACACAGAAAACTCACCCGATGATGTACATGTCTGTGTTTCCATCTCCTACGTTCAGCCCCAGCAGGGAAGAGATGTCATCAGGGGGCGTGGCCGAACCCACGTTCCAAGTGATGATGTGCAGCCTGTAGTAATAATAACACATCTTAATAACTCTCATCTCCTACAAACCCATAACCTACAGCCAGCAGAACCCTTGTATCAATAAAAACTATTGTAATGTAATTTATCCAGCTCCTTCAGTCCCGTCCACAATACACAAACCTGGGCTTTGGCTATCATCCCATACGTCTGGGTATACCCTTGTATGAGTAAAACAAGGCTTGACTTTAACATTGTTATCCTAACTCTGGAGAACAAAATGTAACAAACAAACACATTGAGATGCACGATAGGCCATTAAGTGCCTATATCAGTTGTTCAGGCCACTTGAGGCCCAGTTCCCAAGCAAATTCCATTCGGTTCTATTAAAAGCAGAGCACTCACTATGTGTGCCGTGTTATCATTAGACATTCCCTTCCAGCAGACAATTCTCTCAGCAGCAGCAGCATGGTGAGCAGATATAAATACCCATTAACCACCCAATAAAAGTTATTCAGGTTTGTGACTATTAATACTACATGACATTAATCCAGACTTTGTATGAGCTGCAGCTTTCTTATCTGTGTGACAAGAAAGGTTACCATTAATTTAGCAACGCAATCTGTTCCAGGAATCCAGTTTACTAAACAATGATTCATTACTTACTAAACAAGGGAAACATAACACAAGGGAGTCATAACACCCTTAAAACAAAGTAAGATCCGTTATGAAAAAAAGATATGAACCTAACAGAGGCCATTTCATTAAAGAGATAATTTTGAGACTTAACATGGAAATTATAATTGAGCAATTTCTGTAATTTAAAGCTATTGCATATATCTTAACAATATTTGGGATATTGATATAAAGATTAAGGAGAGAATATTTACTAGATTTAGACCCATTTAGTTGTTAAATTGAGAGGAAGTTTTCCCAGTGTTTCCTGACACAGAAACAAATACCAGTGCTTAATAATTATGACCATACAAATCATGTATCCTTGCAGTGTTGTCAGTGTATACAAATAAATGCTATGCGTGCCAGGCTTACTTTTCTCTGCTGTGACAGAATTGAAAGCGATGTTAAGACATGCTGAGACATGAATGTTGGGACACATACGAATGAAGGAACTTGCCTGAAGTCTTCCACAGTCTGGGCCTGTGGAGTGTCAGCGGTACCGGCCACAGAGAGGGCCCTCTGAGCATGGAGGTTCTGGTGAGAAGCCACTTGGTGGGGGACGGAGGCGGCCCTCACTGGGTGGTGGCCGGGCCCTTTAGGACCCCCTTTAGGCCCGATGCGCTCTCCTGAGGGTTTGACCGCTCCAGGGCGAGAGGGTTTAGGGCGACTTGCCACAGGGCCATCAGGAGTGGACTCGTCTTGGTCAGCCACTGGAGTGGGTTCAGCTTTGGGCTCAGTTTGGGGCTCAGCTTTGGGCTCAGCTTGGGACACAGCTTTGGGCTCAGCTCTGGGGCACAGCTCTGGGCTCAGCTCTGGGCTCTGAGATGTCCACAGAGCCCTCGACTCTGGCGCTTCTCTGGGGCCGCCGAGGCCTGCCGGGCTGGCCGGCGGGGGATGCTGTGGCTGGAGCCGAAGTTTGAGATTTTGTTAAAGCTTCTGCTGCTTCATTTGGGTCGTCTTCTTGCTTCTGGGATTTTTGGCTTGGATTATCTTGGTCCATTTCTTAAGATTTCTGTGACAAAGAAAACAAGCAGGAATGTTTATACTCGCAAGATGCGCATTATGATTGCACTTTAGGAATTTTAATTCATTCAAAAAAACATTCTTGTTTCTGTATATAGCTCTTAAGAAGGTTTAGCCTATTTAAATACATTTGCAGGACAATCTCACTGTTCTGAGTTTCTATCTACATGGTGCATTGCACTTAATGTAAGTTGCTTTGGATAAAAGCATCAGCTAAATGTAATGTAATGTAATCCATCCAATCCATCATTGTTACACATCTCAGCCTTAATATAACATTCTTGTTTAGCATCAAAACTATATTGAGGGAATCATTTAGGGACCATATTCTCTGAATCTCTGAAAAGAAAATTGATTTAAAAAGGAGACGGGGTACAGAGAAGCTTTTCCTTCTGGAACAGCAGAAAGCACAACATGCAGCATCTTTTACAAACAACAAGTCGATTCAGCTGATGAGTGCAGAGCCATCGACCCAGCAGAACAACTGAGTGAATCATTGAGGCTCCAACCGTCGTGACTGTGACCAATTACCTGCCTTGTCGTGGGCAGATGAAGCTGCACATATTGATACAGGAAGACATTTGAAAGACCAAAATACACCACAACTAGAGAGACAAGGTGAGACGTATTTTCCTGCTGCCCTAACCTCTTAGAGCTTTTGGTTTTGAGATTTAGCGGGGGGGAAAGCGTGGTCACAGTTTATTCTCCTCTCTACTTGTGTCTAAGCTGCATGCCAGTCCTCCAGTAACCAGGGAGATGCTCAGTCAGTTCATATCAGCTCAGAGCACCTGCCACACACTAACATGAGGACCAGAACAAAGTCAACAGCATGGAATAAACAACAACAGAGAGAGGGAGATCAGACTGACACAGTGAGCAGAGGAGGACAGAAATAAAGGAGGAATTTAAACCCTTTCATTTAAATAACAATCCATTCAATTATTGTGTGAAAAAATGAATGCTTGTCTTTTCTCTCATGCTGACACAATAGCGATTTAGGCTTCAGCACACCCAGTTTTATAAAATATATTGGTTTAAATGAAAAAAAACATGTGAAGCAAAGATTGCCACGTATAGTTATTCATTGGAAAAACATGGCCATACCATTTATGGATTATCTGAGGAATAAGCATCGACACTAGTTCATCACCAAAGATGACCCAAAAATGAAAAACCAGCAAGGTTTGCACAGATGCCAAATCCCTAAACAAAAAAACAGCCCCATACAGTAGATTGGGAAAATTGCTTGCAGACATGTCTGACCCGGAAAAGAGCTTATTTGAGCATAAAAACGCAGCAGCTCGCCCCAGATCCATCAGTCCGTGATGGTAGAAGTGAAACACGTGAGAAAGTACCAAAACATTTCTTAATCTTTAATGAGAGGACACCTAATCCTGCAGGTGCACGGTCAAAACATGGCATGTTTTAACCCATTTTGATTCGCTGTGTGGTTTAAATGACGTCCTGTACGTTGGGGACATATTTTTCGTCAGCCGGGAGAGAGGGTTTATCTGCTTGGGGACGGAAAAACAATAGAGCATTCTCACAATTATTCACATGACCTTGACGAGACGGAGGCCATGACTTTCACTGAGCTGCCTCTGTACTCCACATGTGCCCAGAAAACACGCCCGTCTCTCAGTCCACCAATAACCTGGAGCCTGGCTGGGCATAATGTATTGCTATGGTCCATGTATGGCATTTAGTGCTGGGAGTGTGGAGGAGGGTTTCAGGGCACATGTGGGAGTGGGTGGGTGCAAAACGAGCAGAGGGACTGGAGAGGGAGAGCGGAGCGAGACAGCCCATTCGGTGACAACACTGTCTCTTTGCAGAATGTCTCTAAATTGATCCTCTCACACTTCCCTCTGGCACTGTCTATTTTTCCAAGCTTTAATCCCATTCTCTCTCCTTCTCTTATCGTCCCATTTCTTTAATCCTTTCTCTCCCCTCATCTTCTTGCAGACTCTGTAGTTTCCATCTAACCAACCTTCACTGCATGCACATCGAATCGCACACCCCACCAATTTAGTTTTCCCCACCCTATATTTTTCCTTTCACATCGAGCTGTTCGAGCATGCTACACTATTCCTGCCCTCAAATATTTTCGTTCCTCTCTCCTCTGCACTCTGAGGTGACACTTGTGTTCTTACAGCGACATGCTCTGTATTGTGTCCTTCAGCCAACTACCTCACAGTCACTATCAATGACATCAACATGCCACAGTCCCAGCGGCCACTGCCATAACAACCGGACATTGATCATAATCTTTGGTAATGTGTTTGGGAACATATGAAGAAACCGGAAGAAACTGCAGAATGAGGACATATTTAAACCATGCTTGAGAATAGAAAGCTGGGAACGGATGATACACTATGTAGGACTTAGTAGTCACTTAGGTGATGATTTTAAAAAAGAAATACAAAAACTAAAATTGAAGCACATGCAGAGACACTTCTTCTCTTGATACAGTGCAGTATTTCTTTCACACAAATAAAAGATAATTTATTTCAAACCAGAGCCAAATACTGCCTTTTTGGGAGCAGTGACGACAGACCACCACTTCCTATTCCATTCACGTTCACTGAGGAGAGACTGGAAGGATTTGATAATAACAAATGTGTCATGGTGTTTACATGCAGCCTCCTGAGGACGTGAGAGCTGAGAGAGACAGGAAGGATGCAGTGTAACCCAAACACCATGCAGCAGCCAGCTGTGTTGGCTCCTCTGACGGGATCATTAGACAACACAGACATCTCTCGATGACCGAGTCTGTGTAATGGACAGAGGCCAAGTCTTCTATATTCTCACAGTGACATCTTTTATCTTAACTGCTTCACTCTGTATGGCTGCATTATGTTGACCCAGTGACTCCATAATGATGATTATTTCATCATTATGATCTTTTTCTTGGATGTTTAATGTTAAAATGACAGCCAAACGGCGTGTTTGTGTGCAGAGCCTCCAGGGCCATATGCCCCTGTGACAGGGATACTAATGGTGACCCAGACAAAGATGACACGGGCAGCTGCTGCCACAGCTGTAAATGGCTGCTCCAGGTCCTAGTGCCACTGAGTATCACTCCCCTGTTTCCAGGGGGCCTCATCTTTCTGATCAGGTCACAGCCAAGGCTGTAGGATGTCAAAATGATTCTGCATAAAGTCTAACACTGAAGAAATGTCCTGACAACATAGAATATAATGTCTGCACTGCAAAATCATGATGGGGTTGTAAGTTCAGATTCAGTCTATTAGCAATTATAGAAACCAGCCAAATAGAAACATTTACTAAGGTTTCATTCTGCTTAAATGCTCTCTGCAGAGAAAAGCGGTCACTTGTATTATCAGAGGCAAAAGCAGAATCTGGTTCACCAAATAATGAACATGCAGGCATTGCATTGTCAAGTAATTGGAATAAAGATTTTCATTCAGTACAACATAATCCGCCTGTGAAAGAATCTGGCCATGTAACATAATGCAACGCCAACAAATCATTAGGGACAAAATTCCATTGCATGTGTAAAAATACAATCTTAAAAAGGTCCCATGTCATGGCCATTTCTACTGATCATAATTCCATTGTTGAGGTCTACTAGAATAGATGTATATTGTGCAATTTTCCAAACTCACATTGGTTTCTCAAACAGCATCTCTATATAGTATGTGTATTCACTCCCTGTCCTACACGGCTTGTTGGAGCTGATATTTCATTTCATTTCAAACCTTTATTTATACAGATAAATCCCATTGATCTCTTTTTCAAGGGAGACCTGCTCAAGTAGTTCCACATGAAACATAAAAACATAAATAGAACAACAAAAGGACATCATACAGCATCATTTACATAATTATCCACATAAACAGGTACCAATAGCTTCCGATTGACTAGCATCCAACCGAGCTTTAAAAACATTTAGTGGCACCAGATATATTTTCATGGGGCCCAAAATCCCTGACGGCGCCCCTGCCTGTGAGCCCAGTGTGCTCTGATTGGTCGGGACGTTGAGAGGCTGGCTGCTCAGTGAGCTGGCTTACTGGTGTGGTTTCCGGGTTGGCGAAACAGCGGGACACAGCGAAACTCATCCTGAGCACACACAAACACTCACAGCCGAAGTAAAAACAATAGGTGTGGCTTGATATTGAGAAAGAAAAAGGTTGATAAACGCTGTGAGAATGGGTCTGCGGAGAGCATTCCTCCGCGATCCCAACTCGTCTATTACCAACCAGTTAGTTGAAAATGCACGCTAAAGGTCCCCACCCCTCCTAGTGTGTGAGGAGCTCCGCGAATTGGTCCATTCGTCATGCGGTTCCCGGAAGAAACAAATGGAAAAAGAGAAATCTCTAACGAGGCGTTCTGGGGCAGCACAGACAGGTATTTTCTGTGTTAGAGTTTTACTCGCTACAGGGTGTACTTTGAGGGTTTGTGACTCTGCAGACCGTTTACATGCAGAAAAACCTTCATAACACACAAGGGGACGGGTAATAAACAGAAAAGCATGACATGGGACCTTTAAGAGAAGTAGAAGTCATCGCCCAGATGTTCATTCCTACCCAATTTTTTAAAGTCCAATTAAGAAACACGTGCAATAAGTTGCAGCAGCAGCTTCATACATTAGATGCTGCTCCAGGAACTACTGAGAAAACCTGTTAGGTGTGTGATAATCAGTGCATTTAAGCTTGTCTTTTTTGGCTTTTTGCCTTTGTTGGATGCTGGTACAGTTAGATAGACAGGAAATGGGAAAAGATAAGGGTCAACATGCAGCATAGGGGGACAGGTCAGATGTGTACCCAGGTCGCTGTAGTAAGTCTTAGGACATAGGCGCCCGCTTTCAGGTAGAATACCTTCATCGTAGCATTTGGAATGACATATAATGCATGTTTTGGAATCCAATGTAGCTACAAAGTATTATGCTTGGATCCTCCCTCAGTGCATCTATCACATTACATTATTGCATGTCTGCATTCTGAATACCAGCACTGACATGTGCAGTACTGTAATGGTAACATGAGTTAGTTATCTGACCTAACGTAAATATGTAAATAAACTTGAAATTGAAGACGTGGATGTCATTCGAGTACTCAATTATGTAAACAAGAGAACACAGGTTCTACATTGCACACACGTATGACAGTGGACACTATAATCTGTGGTAGATGGAAATATGTAGAAACTGAAACAGAAATAACTGATGAATGGCTGAAAGAGGACAGCAGATACAGTAACTGGCCTAATTACATTCCTGCTGCAAGGACCATTTTTGTCTGACTAAAACAAGAGGATGAAGGTCATTTCATTGTGTTGTGTAATAGGTTTATCACCATGGTTATCACATATCAAACTCAGACACATGTGTGCACGTGCATGCGGTCTTACATATATATGTAAGAGGAGAAAGGAAAACAAATAAACAGTGCCAGAGTGTACACTTACATGTGACTGCCTGAAGTGATTCACCAGCATTATATATAGCATTGGTGATCATTATTATATCTTTATATTGATTATCATAGATTGAGGTTACACAAATATGCTGTAACGTGTATTAATGAACACAGTTTCTCGTGTTGACACATTCACAGTATGAAGATTATCTTTCATGGATTAATTCTTTATTTTTAACAGGTGATGTCAGCATTGGGGAAAAAACGTAAACAATAATATTCCCTATATTGTTGATTGGTGTTGATATTGTTCTGCTGTCACCACCACTGGTGCTTAATGTTATATCCTAGGTGCTTCAGGTATAGGTTTCAAGACTAAACACAAAGCATGCTTCCAGCTGATTAATAATCACCTTTACCTGTTTGCTTCTTCTGGGTTGAGGAACAGCAGGTGGATCTGGAGTAAACCGCTTCTGCAGGTGTAGCGGTCGGTTAGTCTCGGTATAGCCTCGGTGAAGGATGTTGAAGAAACCACAAGAGGAAGAAGTGAACCGTTAACCTAAAAATCACACTGGACTTCCCTTTCCAGTTGCCTGCTGCCAGATGAAACCATCGGCATCCCAGCAGCCCTTCCTTCCTTCCTCAGCGGGGGGGGCAGAAGCAATGCTGGCGACAGATCTGCCAGGCAGGCTACATCTCAGAAACACAAATGTCTCCTCCTGCGTTTTAAAGAGACAGCTGCAGGAACACTAGCACGCGTGTGTGTCCTGTGCCTTCCCCGTGCCCTTCAAATCAAACAAGACGTCCGAGGCGGCACGAGAGAAGGAGCGCGCGCTTCCGTAGCGAGATTCGGCTGATGATTACAGGAGGTCTGCTCAGAAGCTCACAGAACTACAGCGGATAGACATATCAAGCGGATAGACATATCAAGCAATTACACAAACATGGCTTCCGTTTACGAGCTTGGTGGACAAAAACCTTTTGCAACACACTCGTGCACCAATTTAACACTAGTTTCGAAAACAACAACCGACTATTAGCCCATATTATTGTACAAATTGCCTTTAAGTATTTAAGTGTGGATTTGAATTGCCGTTCTATGTAGTTAATTCTATGATAAAGCGAGACTGCCCTCTAGTGGTGGGTATCAAGAAGCGTTCTGTAGCTTTAATTAGATAAAAGCTCCTATATCTCTTAATTGGCATTTGTGGTAAGAAGAAAAAACAACTGAGTATATGTTTGTTTGGTGGGTATAATATTTGATTAAGACGCCATTAGATTTGATCAGTTTGAAAAAAGAGCAAGAGCACCATGTTGGGTCAAGGGCCAAGGTTTAACCTGATATACGCAGAAATTACTTACTTGTCAGGGGAGAACTAAGCAAACTGATGTTGGATCTTTACTAAGCCCCCTAAGCATTAAATTAGGACTAAACTGGATTTAAACCACGTATTTGTTTTATTTGTCTACTTCCTGCCTCAGTTGTCCAGTCTATTTAGGCATCTTGTTTGAGCTATAGCAAGTTTTACCTTTATCCTCCTACAACTGAAACAAAGTTTCCGCTCCTATAAGCCAAAGTTTGTTGGGAAAAGCTAAGCATTAGAAAATGTGGTAAAGATGACATGCACTTCTTCAAGACAACATGTTAGTTAACATAAATACTGTATTGTATTTGTGCTTGGGACCATATAATAAAGATGTATAACTTATCAGGCTTTCTCATTTCACATCTCCATTATGTCTCATATTCGTATTTCATTTTCTTGTATAGAAACTAAAAGTAACATTAGCTGTAATCTGTTTACGTTTTCGTTTTTTTATAATAATGCTATATATGCCATTTCTACTGAACTCAACAATACTTTAACAAAAAGTAATTTATGTGCACCCAGGAGGTTGTTGGAAATGTTCATAAATTAATAATATAATACATAACATGCTGTAGTCTTTTGTCAAATTACTTTAAAAGTAAGTAAAATACTTTACCTTATACGTTTGCAACTAATCACATCCATTCGTATCTAATGGTTTAAAAAAAAAAAAAATCCACTTCAAGACGGCTAAAAATGCAGCACTGATTAACATTTGGACAATCTCAATAATGCTGAATATGATCATAAACAGGGGTGCACATAACTTTTTTGCCCTGGTTCTCAAAGGAGCACCTGGAGATGTTGCTTGGTGCTCATCCTTAAAATGAAATAAACCGTAACTTTTGAGGGGGTCTTGACTTTATTTGCCAGACACACGGCACTGAACACACATGCAGAGGTGAACACAGAACACACATGCAGAGGTGAACACAAGACAACATTAGCACGACCAGTAATCCTACAAGCTGTCATCACTACCCTCCTGACTGTTCTCCTCACTGTCTTCCTCTCTGTCAGACATGGTAGCTGATGATGTAGCCCTACTTCTTTCTCTCTGGTTGAGTCTGCGATTAGCTGCTTGCATCCACAAGTCAACAGCTAGTTTTGGGTCGAAAGTCTCTGTTGTCATCTTAGACAAGTGGATGTAATCAAATAAGTATGTGAACATAACCAATAGCCTACCATAGCCAATAACAAATGAATGTAACTTATTTTATTTGTGTTGTTCATTCATATCTTATTTTACCTTAACATTTATTTATTTATGCTTTTTTTTTAAATCTCCAGTTTTAAAGGATATTTTTGGTTACTGTCCTATAGTATACATTGGAATGATTTAAAACCTGTTTATCCCAATAATTACAAAGGAGTGCCTTACATAAATTGTGACCAAACCGTTTGAATTTAGACTAAGAGTCCTTTACCTCACTGAGCTGTAGTTAACTTATCAGCCTCTCAGTCTGACTGGAGAGGACTCTCCCTCCACATTATTGTAGAAACATCTTCTTATCTCCGTTAGAGCAGCTAGCACGGCACCAGATTATAATAACAACAGCGCTGGTACCACCCTCCCTCTCTACCTCGCATTTTGTCTGTGAGCTGCGGGCGCCAGATAAGCCAACATCCCCCATTTTCATCACTTACAGCGCCCATCGTACAGGGCAAATGAAAGGTGGAACCGGGGTGAAAAGGGTGTTACATTTACTTAATTGTGAATATTGTTACATCAAGGCCGAAAATTAGGATGAGCCCCAACGGTCAAAATATTTTTTTCCCTCCCAGAACTGCTAGCGCAGCACCTCCCCAGATCTGGCGCCCTAGGCGAACATCTAGCCAGTGCTACGGGCCGGCCCTGAGTTCATATCATGGTTCATATGCAACTCGCAAATTTCTTTCTCTCTCTTCTCTCTCTCTCTCTCTCTCATCTCTCCTCTATTTTCTCTTTTCTCTCTCCTTCTCAATGTTGGTACGCAAATGCGCTTTGTTTCAAATGACCCGGTGCTCTTTTTTTGGCGGAGGTGCGCATGCGCACCTGCGCACCAGTTATGTGCAGCCCTGATCATAAACCTTAATTTAGCAACCTGGACAAGAATTGCCTCATGTCTAGAAACATATCATAATTATTTCACAAATGTACTGTTCAGGACACAAATGTGTGAAATAGATCTGCTTCCACATACAAGTGGTAAATAACTAAAATGGCAAATATCACATTTCTTGACATGTATTTGCATAATTAAATATGACTAAATGTAGGAACTCATCCACTTTGTAGGCCTGGCCTATAGAGTTTCTCATGAGTTTCTCAATCCCCTCCAGATTATTTACCATGTTCATGGTCACCTGTAGGAGTGTAATTATGCAGTGATGTTTGTAAAGGCTAATATCGTAGACCACCTGCCATCTTCTGCCTAACATATACATAGGTGGTTCTACGGGGGCAACACTGAGTTTCACCCACCCTGTGGCCTACTTCAAAAAAGTATATTAAAAAAAAAGATTAGCTGCGGTGCATCTAGTTTTAATCACTTTGTATACTAGGGTAGCTTGTGAATTTACTCCAGGTGTGACTAAAGTCTTATTTAGGTGTTGATTATATAGATAATCCAAATTTGCAAAGTAACTTAAACTGTAAAATAAGTGTAGTGGAGTAAAAGTATACGAGTCACCTCTGAATTGTAATGGAGTAGATGTACAAAGTAACAAAAAATTGAAATACTCAAGTAAAGTAGGCTAAAGTATCTCAAAATTGTACATAAGTACAGGACTTGAGTAAATCTTCTTAGTTACTTTACACCACTGGTTTTACAGTGTTTTGTTTTCCATTAACATGTGGAGGATTAACCACACTTTACTCAACTTTATGGGATTCACTTTATCTTGACACAATGCACAAAATATGTTTTCTTTTTTACTAGTGCCGAATTTTATTCCATATTTTATTCCATTCCATTCTATTTCTATGTAAATACTGTTATATTTCACTATATTTTTTATATTTTGTTATGTTATTATAGTTTTCGTAAAATAGTTTTAGATCTGTGTTTTTTTTATTTGAGTTTTACTTATGTATGCTCCATGACATCAAGTCAAATTCCTCGTACGTGTCAACCTACTTGGTAATAAACCTGTTTCTGATTCGGATGGAGATCTCGTAGAAAACAGATGCGCACACCTCCTCCCTCCCCTCTCTTCCTGGGAGGGGGGAGTTATTTGACGTGGCAGGAGGACGTGACAATAGCTGCACATCTCTCCTCTCAGCGGGGTTCAGGTTGCTCACCTTCGGTCCTCTGCAGGTGCTGGTCCCGGTGCTCGGTGGTCAGAACCGGAACTATGTGGCTGGTGGTGCTGGCCGGGCTGCTCCACTGCGCCTCGGCCCATGATGTGGACCTGAAGAAACTGGAAGGGCTGGCGAAAGCGAGGGTGGAGGTAGAGTAAAGGAAGCGTTTATGTTGCATACGTGACTGCAGGCTGGTTGTGTTTACGATGACGGTGTACTTTCCTTGTAGGTGTACGGTGGTCTTTTTCTAAATCAAATCAAATCAAGTTTTATTTATATAGCACATTTATAAACGATTTTTGGTCGAGCCAAAGTGCTGTACATATAATAAAAAATAGCCTACAGTAGAGACCAGTGACGTGCGGTGAGGTTCATGGCTGGTGAGGCACTGACTCTTTCAGAGTAAGATTTACAAATATCATATTTTGACCATAATCGACATATTCGGTTATTTTCAAAAGCTTTTTTAGTTTAACAGACCGTTCAACAAAAGGATACCCAAAATCTAAATATTGGATTGTTCTTTCTTAGTAAGATCCCATTTTCATTACAATTGGGGTCTTACCTTGACTTGAAGTCCATGCTATCCTTCTGGACAACAATCTCTATTGCTTTTTTGTAAAAGTCCTCCTTATCTTCCCTCCTTATCTTCCTCTAGTTTCAAAAGTCTAGTTTGTTGTTTGCGTCGCGTCTACCGTCTCTGCGTAGAATAACAGTAGCAACAAGAACCTGTGGGCTCACTTGCGCCCCCTTCAGTGCGGCAGAGGTTATGGCTGCCTCCCCTGGTGCTTTTTTCATTGTCGTTGTATGATGAGACCAGCGAGCCTAAATATCATACGTGAAATAAGTTATTTAGAGACTATGGATGGCGAGGATAAATGTAATAAAGGGATCTACAAACATTACATTGGTGACATACAGTGAGATGGTGCAGGCATGCGCTTAGGGTCCGCTTTCCAGCCAGTTTCTGTGGGGTGACGCATTCTGAGGTGAGGCAGAGCTCATCTCACCGGCCTCACCTCACCCCACAGTAACTGGCTTGAGCGCGCTCACAAAATAAGTGCCCGCGGTAAATTAGTGCCCGCTCTCCAGCCAGTTACTGTGGGTTTACGAGGCAGAGCTCGTCCCTGCCTCACTTCTCATCGCTACCCGTAGTTGTAGCGGAGCTCGGCAAATTTGCTAATTTTGACTATAAAAAGTGATTGGAATCATACATAAATCACATTTACAAGTTACAACACAGATCAGTAGAGACATTTTATTATTATTACTATTTATTTTTTCTTTAGTTGTTTTTCCGTTACATTGGAGTATGACAGGTGAGGCTCTGCCTCCCCTGACTGCACGTCGCTGGTAGAGACACTTTACAGCAAATACAACAGCATAGATTGTTCAGAATATCAGTATGAGAAAACAACACCCTCTATCCTAAAGAGTCCAGTTTGGTGAAATGTATGCATTTATTCCTTGAATTTCGGTGCTAGGCGCATGCGTGAGAGATCCTTCCAGGAGATGAGATGAGCTGTAGTAAACTGGATGGATCTTCTCCATGCGTTTACAGCAGTGGTGTTAAGTAACTAAGTACATTTACTCAAATACAGTAGCCTACTTATACTCTACCTGGGTATTCTCAGTTTATGCTACTTTGTAGGCTACTTAGCCTACCACTACAATTCAGAGGTAGATCGTGTACTTTAACTCCACTACATTTATTTATTACCTTTCGTTACTATACAGATTTGGTTTAATGTTGTGAAATATAATCAACACTAATCAGACTTTAGTCGCACCTGGAGTAAATTCACAAGCTACCCTGCAGCATACACAGGAATTCAAACTAGCTGCACCTTTACCAGCCTTGATAAACACATTAAATTAATGCATCAATAATTATAATCAAAACATGTTATTATATGATTCTGAAATGGGCCAATCTGCAGTATCTGGCCAACAGAGTATTCCTACACGCTGGTACTTGTACTTGTACTTGTACTCAAGTACTTAACATCTGAGTACTACTTCCTCCACTGGTTTACAGTATGGTACCGATTTAAGTACAACAGCTTCTCAGACAATTGTGTAATAACGGTACCGTTGGTAAAGGTGACTTAGTTGTAATTTAGCTGAAAAGGGACTGGGTGTGTTACTAAAAGTCTGGTTCTGAACAAAAGTGTCTGTAACTCAACCTTGAGAAACCAGGCATTTCTCCCTCAGGGTGTCACCAAATCACCAGCCTGCAGTGCCAGCACCACAGAACAAAAGCGAGTTATCTTGCTATTGTTGTGTTAGTCACACTCGGTTCTTAACCTGTGGCTCGGATTTCTGCTCAAATGGGTTAGGAAGGATCCTTTCCAAGAAGCCTCTCTCTCTCTTAAGGCGCAACCATGGACTGTATATATGGGTGCAACGCTACAGTGGTACCAGAACATCAGAGAGACTTAACTGAAGTTGTTTTGGACAGAGGTTATTCAAAGTATGCTTCAAGACACATACATATAATAGTTATCCAATTCCTTATTATGATGTCCCATTTCCTGTTTCAGATGTGTTTAGTTTTGAAGCATCATTTTAAAGAATATGGTGTTGCCCTGCTTCTTTTTCTTAAAAAAACTCTTTAATTAAATTCAGTTAAATAGATATATGTACTTGATTGATCACAAATTGAACACATTCTTGAATTCAATAATGATAATACTTTCCTAATTAAAAAAGGCAAAGTTATAGTAATAATAAAAAATAAGAATTAGTCAAAGAAGAAAACAAGAATACTACTACTTTTAAAACTGAACCAACAAAATGTCAATAGAAAAGCCCCTCTAACCCAGGTGATGTCTCAATTCCTGAGTCTGAGAGCTGCTAATAACCATAGTGATCTTTTGTTGTGTCTCTTGGCAGTCGTGTGGTGGATGACAGCTGAACAGGCTCAGAGAGGTAAGTTGCCCTTTTCCCTCTAATCCACAGAAACAAAGTGGACAACACACACAGTCGGACGCAGACTGAAGCCTAATCACTGCCTCAAAGTGTTGGCTCACTGAGAAACATTTTACATTTAGAGTTTCCCATAATCCTCCACAGATCTGCTACTGAAACCATCCCTGAGTGAAAAACATTAATCCCCTCCTCTGTCCGCAGGTCAAAGCCTTCGTGGTCCAGGACATTCCTCTTTAGTATCCTTTCCCTCAAGCACACTGCTGTTTCTTGTTTTTTTTAAACATGTCCTTTTACAGGTTGTAAAAAGTACAATTTTTTCTCTTTGTGCCAATCCTTGACCGTCAATACCTCAGCCATAATCTGGTGATGAAGCACATTCCTGGGGCCGACCCTGAGCTCGTCCTCCTGAACCACTACTTTGAAGAGCTGGATGTAAGTGTTTGTTTTGAAGCCATTTACATTGTACTCGTTTTAAAATAGATCAAAACCCCTACAGTATATTTAGACCTTGCGAATGCTTACATCATCTGTTATACAAAATAATGTGACCATTTTTGTAGAATATTGGAGTTGATTTCAATCCATTCATTCTCAGAGTCCAGAGGTTAGATCAGTAAAAGTGAGGGGAATGGCGTCTTTCTAAACCTGTGACTACTATCAATTTGAAAATCCCATCCAACGTGTTGCAATATTAACCAGAATGAACAATAAGCACCTCATATATATATATATTTAAAGTATTTTATGTCAATAATATATACATATATAATAATGTGCAAAAACCTCTTAAATCTCACTTTCTGTCGTTGTACTTTTTGTAAGCTTTTGTATACTCATGGTTACAGACTCACTCATGTTCCCCTCCCTACACTTGGATTTTGAGTGTAATTAACAAAATATTTGACAGTACACAAAGTTAAAGATGAATTCAACTATGTATTATTATTATATTCTTCATAACTGTTATAGATATCATTATTTTGCTTTTGGGATTTATGGGCCCCTCTAATCATGTATACATCTGATATTGTGACAGCCCTATCCTACACACAAGGACTTCAAGCATAATTATAAAACTGCATTTTAAAATATAAATGGCCTTATTCCATTTTCTAAGTGAAATAAAGACAGTGTTGAAATATATAGCTGCATTAAAACATTTGGCCTGATCTGATCACACTTTTTAGAGGTGGTACACTTCCTAGCAAACAGTTCCATCAACACTTCTCTCAGACACAGAGCAACATTAGCATGAATGTGAAGTTGTGTTTTGTCAGATCTAACACTGATGGAAAAGTACATTTAAACTTGAATTATAACCCTGTGTGTCCTGCACAGCGGATCGCCCTGTCTGACATGAGCCGCTCAGAGATCAACCAGCTGCTGGAGGAGCTGGGTTTCTACAAGAAAACTGCAGCTGAGGACGAGGTGCCAGAGGAGTTCCGCTTCTCCCCCGCCAAGGACAGCCCGTTTAAAGATGAGCCGCCGTACGAATCCTCCCCCTCCTCCTCCCCCTCCCCCTCTTCCTCCCCCGCCACAGAGAACGCCTCCTCAGAGCCCAACGTAGAAGACAAGCATACTGACCTATAACTGAAGTAGCAATCTCACATTTCCACCAAGCCCCAAAGCTGCTCCACGACCAGCTGGTTGATGCAGTTGATGACAGAAATGCACGTCAAAATAAGACCAGAAGACCATGGAACAGCTTTTGGGCTTGGAAACAATCTTAGCATCAGCAACAGGCCTTTAAAAAGTCTGAATTTTGCACATATTGATGTTTGTTATTTTTACAGCGATAACATCCAACCAGGGTGCTTTGTGAATGCTTTTCTACTCTCCACACCAAGACTGGAAATGTGTATGTTTTACATTTGTTTTTGGTCCATTATATGTGAGCTTTCTTCAGGATCCTTGCCTCCCTTGAGTTCCCCTTGTGTGTCTGACAGCTTCCTACCTACTGTGAAACTGAATGAAGCCTCAGGCTGAAACCTGTCGTCTGGCCTGAGGCTGATGCTGCATGTTCTGGTGGTCGGACTGAAGCACACAAGAGGATCAAGTGAAAGCACTGTAAAAGAAAATAATAAAATATTTGAAAAAATAATCTCATGTTTTTGCTATGTTGTAGTATTAGGTTTTCTTGCCTGCTTCAAAGATTAGATTTGACGGAGGGCAGGCTGTTAATGCCAATAGGTAGATTGTGGTGTGGAAAAGGCTAACGAGCAATAATAGCAAACAAATACATTCATTTCAAATTGGTTTAATTTCAATTCACATTTGACTGTGGTGCAAAGAAACATGAAATTATAATGTGTTAAGCTCTTATTTACAGCACTCACTGCTCCGTGGAAGGTATTCTGTTTTCATTCGGCAGCGGTGGAATCATCTCAAATTTCTCCAAACAACAAAATAACCTTTAAGAAATATGTTTCCTCGAGCTCGTTAAGCTCTGAGACAATCAGAATTTCTTATTAAAGGAATCTTAATTTTTACAAGCATAATACAAATCTTTCACCCTTAAATTCATTTTTATGTTGTAAAATATACAGTTGGCAGTTATGTTCAGTCATGATGACTCACGTTGAAACAGAAAGCCGGCTTTCATCAGGCCCTTTAACTCGTCCAAAAAGTGACCCCAATTAGTTCAACAAAACATCCTAATAGCTTGAGCTTGACGCTTTGAACAAAGCATGATTTACACACTAACAAAATAAAAATAATATATTTCAACAAAATCTACTCAAGCATAAATAAGAAGCCCTCTAAAAGAGCAGTGTGTGAGTGTGTGGCAGTACGTCAGTGATGCTGGGGTGAGGCAGCACTGCTGTACACATTTTGTTTTTCTAAATATGCCATCAATACAAACAAATCAAGTCATTATACAAGTCATCCGAATGACCTCAGCCCACTCCTCTTTTTTCTATATACCTGAATAAAAAAAACTTGTTTGACCGCAAATATACTCACTGTTAGAATAATATTATACAGGTGACTTTTAAAAAGTTCAAATAGTGTTAAATATGTTCTCAGTAGCACTTTAAAATTCAGAAAGGTGAGATTTACTCGCTGCATCCATTTGAACAATGAAGGACTTCCCTGTGCCTCTGTATTAAATAGTAATATGCTAACTGTTACATCAACATCAGAATCGTAATAACTTAATTCAAATACTTCAAGCAGCCAGAGTGTCTTAACAATTCAAAAGTACCGAGATAAAAACCAAATAACGGAACGGTATATTTTTCTTCTTGTGGAACTACCTACAGCTATGCCAACAAGGTTTATAATTACAAAAGTATGGCAGAGATATAGTAAAAAATAACTTAAAGGGGAAATACTATACAAAGATTTCTCTTTTGTAGTACACTAGCGTGGTAACACGGCTTCTGCATGTTAAAATGTTCCCAGTACAAAGCAGAGTAAAAAAATATTACATTTTTAAAGCTTTGAAAAGGTAGTCTTATAAAAACTTTGCCGCCCTCTTGCTGTAAAAAGACGGACTTTGTGTTAATGAAATAATGAAAACACATCACCACTGCCAACAAAGATAATACGCAAACGAACACAAACACACACACACACACACACACACACACACACACACACACACACACGCACACACAATCCCCAACTTGTCCATGATGCCACGTCCAGGCTTCACCCTCAGGTCAGAGGTCAGAGGGGACAGGGCCGACCCATGGACATCTCGTATCTGCGCAGGTGGTTGACCAGAGACTGGACGTAGGTGAAGACACACTTGGAGTCGGGTTTATTACCCATGATCATCATGTCCTCCACCTCCAGCAGAGGCATGCAGTTGGCGTACGTCCTGAGGAACAGCATACAAGAGACAGTGAGAAAGAAGAGGGGACAGACAGGATGGTGGAGGATCGGATGATCGCTCATTATTATTCATATGTAATCATATGTCAGGTGCTTTAAATTGATCATAACCCAAATATGTTAACCGCTACATTTGAAAAGAAATCGCTGATGAACTCCTTGGCCTTTCCTTGTCGTGGTTATGTTTTACTTCTTCTTTTTACATCCTTTTTGTCTCCGTTTCTCTAAAGCAATGTGTGGAAAACCCTTTAAAAGCTCTCGATAAAACTTTCGATAAACAGTTTTAGAAACGAAGGTTCCTCGTGTGAGTGACCACAGGGTGGCGTTATATCTCCACGTTCTGTAAACCCTCCAGACATCCTGAGTAACAGGAGCGGCACGCATGAGAAAATAAATGTCAACAACATAAACTTGGTTTTGTTATTTAAGGACTGCAGACATGGGGTCATTCTGCACTTTACGATTTTAAAAAGGCTTAACAAGCATAAACACCTGTAAATTCACACATGATCAAAGGTCAGCAGACAACACAGCCTGCTTTGTTTCTCAACCTCTTTGTTTGAAGCTTTGTGAAACAGCAGTTCCTTTTAAAGTGTTGCAGATGGTCCTGGCTCTCCGCCTGGGCCATAGTCTGACTATTCAGAAATGCACACATGGACACACACACACACACGGTACTTCGTACTTCAGTAGCTTCAGATTAACATGAGGGATCATATTTCCAAAAGCGGCCAATAAAGGAGTTTTCTGAAGCACTTTTCACACACACACACACACACACACACACACACACACACACACACACACACACACACCACACACACACACACACACACACACACACATCACACACACACACACAAACACACACACACACACACACACACACACACACACACACACACCACACACACCACACCACACACACACACACACACCACACACACACACACACACACACACCAACACACACACACACTACACACACACACACACACACACACACACCACACACACACACACACACACACACACACACACACACACACACACCACACACACACACACACACACACACACACACACACACACCACACCTCAGAACCAGAGTGTGGTTCCTCTGTAGGTTCGCCCCCCTCTCTCACCATGGGTTCAGTTTTAGTTGAGGTGCGACTCTAGGAGGAGTTTTTGGTTTTAACCAGGCCCTTGGTCACCAGCCCCCTGTAGAACTCCTGCAGGTACGTATACACACACTTCCAATCCGGCTCGCGCATCTTCACCATGTCGTCCACATCCAACAGCTGAGGGCAGTCCACCATTTTCCTGTGCCCACACCCAGCAGGGGGAGGGGGGGGGAGACAGGAAGGAAAGGAAGAACCAAACAGATAGGAGGAGGAGAAGGGAGAAGATACAGATAAGAAGAAGAAACGGGACAAAGTGTGGGAAAGAGAGGAAGGAGGAGGACAACAGATTAAGCGGTGAGCAGCCAAACGAAGAAGATCCAGGGTGAGGAGACAGAAATGACACAAAAAGAAACAATACCATTACATTCTCTGTGTTCACAAATATATCCATGAGTTGACATGCTTCATGAACATCTCGATACGTACAGTATGTGGCAAACAAACACACTTGCAAACAAAACGTCAAATGAGCGGCAGGTGATGCTCATTTAGCCTTTTTGCTTCTTGTTGTTTTTTTCTGTGCAACTTTTGACCATTTTAGCATGGCTGCGATCTCTCAGAGAACACAAGACACGGTGAAAAAAACAACAAGGGTTCTGCAGATGAAAAACACAAAGACAAAATCATATGGTGACTCTAAAAAAACAACATACTGGTGCACAGGAGTGTGTGTGTGTGTGTTGGGATTTCAGATAACAGCAAACTACTGGAGGGTCAGCAGTGCCTGGGGAAGTGGGTGGGGGTGCAACACAAAGGTGGAAAGACGGGGGCTGTGGGTGGGTGACAGTCCGGTGTCGAGATCGTGAATAACATCAACATGGACATTAAACTGCTGAGAGCATGTGAGCAAACACGCACACACAGGTGGGTGAGGGGCTTTGAAAGAGAGAGGATAAGAGAGGTATTAGGAATAAAAAGGAGGGGAGATGTGGAGGTAATAGGCGGGAGCTCGTCCGTATTTGTTAACCTGGTGGTGGTTTGGGTGGGTTTGCTCATGGGTCTCTGGGTTAGAGCAGCAGTTATCATAGTAGAGGACAGGTGGGGAGTGGTGGTTTAAAGGTGGAGTTATTAGAGCCTTGAGGTAGTTTGATACACCTGGGAGAGACAGGGGAGTTAACATCGGGACATCAGTCGAGGAGTTTCACGCGTTTTGGGTCCGTCTCTGAACTTCAGGGTCAAGTAGAAGTTGGTATATAGCAATACTGAATACAAGTGGATGTTACAGAGGAATGAGAGAAGGATGTGTGTATGATACAAAGAAAGGGAAATGTGTCGTTTTGAATTTTTTTTCAATGTGCATTCACAAGCTTGGATTGAAGATTAAAGTGTATGTCTTTATGCTTTAGACTCTGAAGTTTAGAGCAAAGATTCTTCTTCTGGTTTCTCCTCATTTTCTTCACATTTTCTCCACCATGATTAACAAAAAGCTTCACTGCCGTGTTGTGGTTTCTCCAACATAGTCGGTGGACCGTCACACTTTCAGTCAGAGCTTAACACAACAACAGAAACTGATGTGGTTAGCGGACAAATCATAGACCGTATGTGTATCTTTATATACAGCCTATGGGAAACAGTTGTGTGTGTGTACTCACTCTGCTGTGTTGAAGGCCACCTCAAAGTTTTGCCTGCGGTTGCTCGGGCTCAGGGACTCGTATTCAAAGGATTCAGGGAAAAAATTGTGCACCAGGGCACAAAATGCCATGCCGTTACTCCAGCTGGATGAAAAGTTCTGAATATCCACATGCTGAGGGAGGAGACAGACAGATTAGGATGTGCATTTTGTAAATTGTGTAACTTTTTTTTAATCTTTAATATTTTTTTTATGCATGCTTCTTAGTTAACATTAGGCTTTCTTTGGCTCTTTTTCGCCGTCACAAATGTAAATGTCCTCTCTGTTGGACGAATAAAGGTATTCTGATTACATTTGGAGGCAGTCCCAGGTAAGTGATGGAAACATTCCTATAGAAGGAAAATATTATCTCAGCCCATCTTGTCTTAATCTTCAGGTTTAGCTCCACTGGCTGACGTTAAAGATGAGCCCTACACTGTGTTGTCGGGCTGGAGCTCACCTCATACGAGCGGGTCTTGGCACGGCACCAGTCTAGCAGCATCTGCTTGATGGAGTTTGCGTTGGGAACACCAAAGCTGGTGGAGCGCTGGACCTTGTTTACCTTGGCGACCGCCTGATTTCCAGGGCTAAAAGAAAAGTCAGGTTTGTGTTGATATTTACATGCTTTGATCTGCTACCTGTCTTGGGTAGTAATTCCTCTCCGTTTGTTCTTACCCGCCTCCCTCCTTCTCCAGCTTCTCGATCATGGCTTTGCGGGCCGTCATGGCCGAGGTCTTGGGCAGAGACTGAGCCCTCATCAGCTCCTTGCGCCGCTCCGCCTGCAGTCCGCTCAACCGCGGCCAATCCACTGCTGCCGCTGCGAGACGATGTATCATCCTCGCGGTCAAACACACTGAGGCAGGGACACGTACAGTAAGTCAACTGGTGAAACTGTAGGCGTTGATTAGATACTGTGGTGATGTTTCTTAACTTACCTGCCCACTTTTTTGCTTGTGTTGGAGGAGGAAGATGATGTGGAAGAGCTGAAGCTGTATGACTTTGACTGGAGTGTCCCTCCTGAGATAAATGAACACAGGCATGTGAATAATATTGACAATATGACTGTAATGACTATAAAATATGATAATAAAGAAATGACTTACTATCTGTTTTCTGCAGATAACTGGACTCAACAACAGTGCTGCGTGATGATCTGCTTCCATCATCTAAAAAAGGACCATTTTTTTTTATTATAAACACATCGGACAAAGATGATCCTTATCATTTGTTGTCCATCTATTTCACAAAATAAAAGAGAGACCGACCAGACGAAGCGAAGCGGTCTGGTCTTGGTGACTTGGCTGAGGCTGGAGCCGTCGGCGGACTTCTCCACTTCCTCATCCCCACCTCTCCTGCTCCCACGCCTGGACGGCCTTTCTGCCCTCGCTCTTCCCTCTGCTGCCGGATCTCCTGCAGACGGTTGTCGCGCTCCTTTTCTCTCTGGTCTGGGGTGGAGAAGGGGAAGGGGAGAGAAGAGGAGAAAGGGGATATAGAGGTGGAGGGATGATGTCAGTGGAAAAAGAGGAGGAGGAGGACAAAAAGGTCCTAAACAAACTGACAGCACCTCATCTCACTGCTGCAGAGATGGATTCAAACTAAACCTCTTCTAAATGTGAGGTTGCAGATTCTTTCCACAGTACTGTGAAATTCCCTTAAACAAACACACACGCACAGCACAGCACAGGTGGGAGGTTCGAAGCCCAGCCAAAGCTGTCAAGTTATATGTACAGCAAAAACATCACACATCAAAAAGAAAAAGCACACTGCGATCGACCTCGATGACTGGCAAAGTGATACCTTAACCTCTGCAGTGCAAACTAAAGCTTTACCTGAGAGGGTACCTGCATTTTAAACGTATTATGTGGTATTATGCATTTATTCTAACTCTATGTGTAGTGGAGGATTAGAGAGACAGTGTTGGCACTAGTT